TTCATCAGCATCTTTCAACTTCTTCCTCCCCCTTTAAATACTTAGCAATCCTCTTCGCCAACTCCAGTCGGCCTCGGTAGGGGCGTGTGTGTTTCTCTCCCCACAGTACCCTGCAAAAGAGATGTCAGGCCTTGTGCATCTTGAGAGCCACAACAAACTGCCCACCAACGACTGGAAAGTCTGCACTGTTGCTCGCCTTGGGCTTCCTGCACCCTTGCTTGGAGTATTACACTGGTCTCCTCGCCATCGTATCCACCGTCGATTGGCGTACGTACTACTGCCGCGTTATCCAGCTCGAACTTCACCAGTAGGTCCTGGATTACTTTTCTTGGTCCAGTGCCCGCCCTTCTTCATCGTCGTATTGCGATGCGATTCCCAGGAACTTGGACACCACACCCAAGTCCTTTAGCTCTACGATCTGCATCTCTGCGGAGAACTTGTCAACCTTGTTCTCGCTTGTTGCCGTCACTAAGATTGTCATCCACGTAGATCCCTACAAGTGTCATACCGTCCATTTCAGTCTTGGTGTATAAACAACTATCAGTATAGCACTGCTGGAACCCCAGCGACACTAAGATACTGTCTCCACAATCGGCCGGACCGCTTCAGTCCGTAGAGACTCTCAACAAGATCAGCACCATCTCGTCCTTACTCGTCACGCCCAGTGCCTCGAGCTGCTCCTTTGTGAACTCCATGCCTTGTGGGATCAGCAGGATTATGATCAGCTCGGCCTCTTTCTTGGCCTTCAGGTACGCACTCGGTACATCTCCGTGACGTGCCGGCACCTTCCAGATACGCGACACCACCAGTATCACTCTCCCGGACACGAACTCCAGTACGGCTGCGAACGTGAACGTGTAATCTACACCGTACTCCTGTTGGTCTCCGCGCGCTACCAGCCTAGCCTTGTACTGCTCAATGGTACGATCCGCATGAGTCTTGAGCTTGAAGACCCACTTGGTGCGCAAGCACTTCGTTCCTGACGGCTTTTTCGCTACCGCCCACGTCATTCTGCTCCAATGCGTCGAGCTCCTCTTTGATGGCCTGCCTCCTTTTGTCTGCGCGCGGGTCCTCCATTGCTTCCTTGTAGTTCTTCGGATCCTCGCGCTTCACCACGTTCACACGGGTTACTGGAACGTGTTTTGCGCCTATGTTGCGCGTGCTCATGCGTGTGGCCCCTCTATCTTCAGTTGGTACGTGTCCCTCTTCTGCTTCTTTCTTTTCAGCTGCATCTCCTTCTGCATCTGTGCTTCGCCTCTTACTGTTCTTCTTAGACTGTTTCTTCTTCTTCTTTGTCTTCTTTGATCTATCCAGCGACTTGTTTTCTTCTTCTGCGGTCTTTTCACTGTTAAGTTCTTCTTCTACAGCTGTCTCCTTCCGCTTTGTCGACTTCTCTCGCTCTTTAACTGATTTCTTCAATTCTGGATCTTCGATCTCGAGCTGTTCCTGCAGCTGCGCGCTCTGCTTGGCGTCCAAGGTCTCGACGTTCTTAATGTGCAGGGTTGTGATTACAATTCGGTCCTTGGGTAAGTAGACCTTGTAGCCCTTCGTTTCGTCATTCTTGCCTATTATCATGCCAACTTGTGCTCTTGCTTTCCAGGCCTTCTTGCCGGCGTCTCTGTAAGCAGTACAGGGGCTGCCGAACGTGACGATGTCTGACAAGCTCAATACCGAGCCCGTCAACATCTCCAATGGCGATATACGTTTGGCGTTAGCTCTACACGTGCTGCGGCTGAGTACGTACGCTGCGTACTCGACCGCATCTCCCCAGAAGTACAGTGATAGCCCACTAGCGAATAACATGCATCTGGTCATGTTTAGCACGGTCCTGTGCATTCGTTCGGCCTTCCCGTTGGATGTCTGATTCTCTCTCTCACTAACCTGTCGGCGCACTCCTGTAGCCTTGCAGAGCAGATCCACGTTCGTGTATTTCTTGCCTCCGTCGGTCCTGAGCACGTGGATTCTACAGTTAAATCGTTTCTCGAAGTACACTAAGAAGTGTTCGAACTTCTTAGTGGTTTCCACCTCGTTCTTTGCCAGGAACACCCTCACGTAGTTCGTAGAATATTTGACAAAGTTAATTAAGTATCTATTACCGCGCCTGTCCTTGGGTGTCATGGGCTCTTTGATATCGCTCCCAATGACGCCTCCGATCTTGTCAATGGGTGCGTTCGCTCCCGTATCTTTGTGTGACTGGTTGCTCTTACTCTGCTTGCCTTGTGCACAGGTTAAGCAGTTCATGCACACTCGGCTCGTCAGCCTGATGCCTCATCCGGCCGCGCCGGCCATGCGTTCTACCGTGTCGTACGAGATGTGCCCCAGACGCTTGTGCAATTCCAATAGCGTCGTCTCGGTCACAACCTCGTTCAGCGAGTTATTTGCTTCTTTCAGTTGACTGACTACCGCATTAATTCGCGCCTGCTTACTTGTATTCCCCGTAGTGTCTACCATCAACACGTTGTGTCGTCTGTGAACCTCGAACACGCGTACTCCACTCTGCTGCTGCACCATGTAGCTTTTGCCGTCGTGACGCTCAAGGTACACATCTTTCTCCTCCAATCTACCGTAACTCATGATGTTGTCGGCTAAGTTCTTAGCGTAATGAACATCCGAAATGTCCACCACGACTTCTGGTTCATCCACGATCGTCTTGAGCTCCACAGAGCCTTTCTTGATTACCCTAATGTTCTCACCATTCGCCACTCTGTATTGATCGTCACAGTCCACTGCGCTCTTTAACAGCTCTACGGTCTTGATCAGATGCACGCTGGATCCGCTATCCAAGATCCACGCGTGTGTGTCGGTGTTTGTGCCCGTACCGACCGCTAGCGAGACCTTGATCTCTTTGGCACCGTTATTTTTCTTCGCTAGACAATTTCTCGCAATGTGTCCAATGTCGTCGCAGTTGTAGCACCTGCGAGTGTCAGTATTGCCCACGCGTGAGACGGATTCAAGTCCTCGTTCACCGTGGACACCTCGGTTACCGCCATGGAACCGACCATGTTCTCTGTTGCCGCGACCGCCTTGGCCGCGAGATCGTTCGTACTTGGCCATGCTTGCCTCGTACTCAATCGCAAAAGCCACTAACTCCGTAGCTTGCTGCAAGTGGTCCATGCGCTGTGAGTTCAGCCTTGTGAGCATTGCACTCTGTAAGTAGCCGGGTGCGGACTTACACAAACACTGTATCACGTGTAGACCCGAACACCCCGACCTTTCAGCCACTTACGTCAAGCACTGGAAGTGCTCCACCCACGTCCTTTCGCGCAGTTTCTCTGCCGTCATCAGCTGCAGTCCCTTGGATGCGGTGATCGTCGTCATGTACGGCACTAACATTATGTTCATCACATGCTCCAGTGTGGGCGACTCCGCTGTCCAGAGTGAAAGCATCCTCTCGAAGTACACCAGTGCAGACCCATCCATCTTGCCGTTTAAGGCAAGGATGCGGAATTCCTCCGACCAGTCACCACCGCTCATCTGCTGAGCTGCAGCCAGTCGCTGCAGGAACCGCAGTCGCCAAGTCTTGAAATCCGCACCAAGGCCAGGATACACCTCCTTGCCCGCGAACTTCGCGAAGCCCGGCCAGTCCAGGTCGCGTGGCTTCGGCACCTTGAGTCCGAAGTTCGATGGCGGCACAAACTGCTCTGCCATGGGTGCGGCCATCCGCTGTTGCATACTTGTTGTGTTCTCCGTCGGTGGCGTCGGCATCTCTGGAGCTGGCGTCGCCTGCGTCGGCGTCCTCATCGACGCGTCGAGAGATCCTACTCTCATCCGCCGAGCTCGAGCCTTGATGAAATTCGTAAACGCGCTCGACTGTCCGTACTTGTGTTCGAAGGATGGCGTGTCCGTGCGGTGCTGCAACTGCTTTTGAAGCTCCGCTTCGTCAGCCATGAACTTGGCCTGTTGTTTGGCCATCCCTTTAATGAGTCCTTCAAGTTTATCTAGCCGCTCAGAGCTTGCGCTAGAGCTCCGGGTTCCCCTTCCTGGACCATCGGACGCACCTGACTCAGAATGCGTCTCCTCGAACAACTCAAACGGGTCTGCTGCCACGTTCAGCCCGTGGACATCAGTCTCTTGAACATCGCGCGGCTTTTGTTGTTGTGAGGTGCCGTCGGAACCCGTTGAGCTCATAACCTATTGGGCGCTTGTGCTTGGCGTGGTAGATTAAAGACTGATTGAATTAAGTTGTTATGTAAAATGCATTCTCTCCTTCGAGAGGTTTCCTAACTGCTCATCCTGTTTACCTTCTCTGCTGACACTCACCTTCTCATGAATGACGAGATCTTCTCCATCTCATCCGTGTGCGTGACTTCTCAGCATCTCTTGGTCTCATGTAGATCTTCTGTGAGCTCCGACAGCTTATAGTTAGCAATGCCAGAGTATCACCCAGGGCAATTCCGTCACCATCATTAACTGTCAGTTAAGTAGACCACAATCTGTGACGTGCGCCGAGAATCGATGGCCGTCATTTTGGACAAACTGCTCGTTTTACAAAAAAAATCACTTCTACTTTTGCCGTGGCGCGGAGCAATGAATTCCTTAGCTGCTTTGACCATGAAGCTCGACTATACAAAAGAAGGGTACAGATCCCCGCTTGACTAATATCGCTAACGCTGCGATAGTACCAGACCAAGGTAGAGAAGAGGTCGTGGTTACCCAGGAAACCACATGACGGATATCCGTGGAGCGTAGACTTAGTGACGAAGATGACACAAAAATCAAATTCACAAGGCGGCTCGTCATTCAGCAGCTGCACATCGCACCGCTGTCAAACAGATTAATCAGGTTCGGAAGCAACAAGGCGAAAGGGCTGTTATGCCATTCGAGTACTTACAGCAACAGTACGACCAGCAGTTACATTTACAAAAGCAGCAAGAAGACGTTAGAAAGCCGATGGACGCGCAAGTCAGCATCTTCAAGACCGTTTCGACTATTACAAGTGGCCGAGGAAGCATTGAATCGGCAAGGGAGGCAAATAGAGGATCTGACAGAGGCAGTCCGACTACAAATCGAGAGCACGACGGGGGTTGTTTGCTGAAAGCTCTGTAGGCGACACTACCAACGCTAATGAGGGCCAGGTGCCGCAGGAATCGAAAGTGATGTTAGCTAATTTGCCTTTTCCGCCTATGTAAAGATGCAGTAGGGAAAAAGAAAACGGATTTTCATCGATAGCTACATGTTAAATAGGCGCAGAGCAAACATACTAACCCAGGCGACGTAGACACAAGTGTCCACAATGTCCTAAAGCCCCTGTATTGAGCAAGGAGCGCTTATCGGAGTTTGTCGCTTGGAGCTGTTCAAGAACTTGACCGATATCACCGAGGATGACGGTAAATCTCACTTTCTGGAAGCCTATTACCTACATACAAGAAACTACAGCTGATGGTGAAAACATTAGCTATGAGTGTGGATCTGCATGATGCTACATCCCAAATATCGAGGCTGGGTGCAAGTATTTACCAGATACTTGACGACATAAACATGGAGTACATAATTCACAAAGCCCCCAAGAGAGTACGAGAGTATCTGACCAACGCGTTGTGTCCACATGCATTCGATCAACGTTCTGAAATTATTTTGGTGCGTCCGAGCTAAACGCCAATCAAGCGCAACGTTTAAGTGTTTCTGAAGTGGCTAAAGCCGCAGCTAGAAACGTTTATGAAGAATGAAGCTCATATTACGGCTACGACCTAGATACCGAGCAATTCTAAGCCACGAGCGCAGTTGTAGAACAGCAACGCGCAGGCAAGAACCAGCCTGGATACAATCGCATATGGCCCAGCAAGCTTATCACATCCCCCAACTAGAAGTACAAACACGGAGTCTCGATCTTTAAGCTCAGCTGGTAAGTCTCGGCCAAAGCAGTCGGGCGCGAAGACCAAGCGTCGCGAGTGTTATAAGTGTCATTGTTGTGTACAAATGTAGTAGTTGTAGCTGCCATTAGTTTCGAATATGAGGTGGCATCAACTCTCCGGCACATCCCTCGGCTGATCTTAATGACTGGCACGCTGACCTCTTTCATAATTGGCTGGCCCTTACCACTAATTGATACTCAACTACTTAAATTGCATCTCGCTTGACCTTTTAATCTTTGCATTGCTTAATTCAAGAGTATACAGACTCGTAGATATTGTGGCCCAACACTCCCACTACAGATGCCAGCATTGTCCGTCAACTTTTTTCTTATTGTCCATCAGGGATCGTTCTCGAAGATGTCGAATTTAACCATTCTCAGATTTTAGCTGCCCAAAACAGCAAAATCTACCTATTAAACTTAAATTTTGTGTGTGTTTGAACGGTGAATTTATATCCAACCTTGATTTGGAAACCCAAAACCAGACCTAATACATTTTTTCTTATAAAAATACACTTAGAGTTTGCATTGAATTTTTCGACAATTACTTTCGTTGTTCACTCTCTATTCTGCTGCTGTCTCGCCAAGTGCAGGTCCCGATGTTCCCCTTCGGAAGGAAGGGGGGGGGGTCACAAGCGCTTCCGTATCCCTTCAGGCAACAGTGATCCGGCTTAGACCACCGTGATACTCGTGTCCTGACTTTTTAGCATTTTAACGGATCGCCAATGGCTCATTGGAGGCACTGCGGAGCGAAAGTCTGAATTTCCAGTCTTCGACCATTTGTACTTTACTTGGTGGCAATTTTAGAGAGTCAGGGAAATTTGAACCTTAAAGAGTAAAATGTACTCTGGAGTAGCCCGAACATGTCAAATTTAATTTAAAAGGGACAGGTGATGAGTTAGCTGACGTTTTAGCATTAAAATCAATATTTACCAAGCCCTTTCACTTAAATGGTCGCTTTACTGTTAACTTTATTACTGACTTTGTTGTTTTAACTGAAATTTTACTTTGACTTTGTAAATGTACCTTTGCAGCCAAAAGCTTACTTACGGAAAATCTCATTTAAGTTCTCTGACACCCTTCATAAATTGAAGTTTTTCAACTATAGCTAAAGGGTTTAGTTACAACATCCGCTATCATATTGTTTGTGCTACGATAAGTAACCCTGATTTGGCTATCTTCATGCTTATCTCGAGCAAAAAGATGCCTAATGTCAATGTGCTTTGTAGATGAGTGACTACAAGGGTATTTAATATTTCTGATATCGGTAGTACCGGACTCCATGCATTTCGTGCAACCAATGCATTTCATGCAACCGCGAACGTAAAAAGTCAACACAACCAAAATCTATATGGTGACACCCCTTCTACAACGAACTTCCATCCTTGACAAAAAAATGTAAAATAGCACCAAACTTTTAGTTTTTAGTGAGTGAGCTATGCTATGCTAGTTCCGGCGCTGGTGGCTCGGCAACACGAAACGTGCCATCTACCATTCGTGGTCCTATCGGAACGAGGCCCGCCTTGACAAAACCCCGCTGTAATGTTTCGGGGGGAACTGCCCTCCACGCCTCGTGCACTATAGACGTGATTAACCTAAGTCCTTCCTTAGCGTTTAAGCTAAAGTCGTTTGTAATGTGGTGTTGAACGTATAGCTCTCTACACCAGTGTTTAAAAACACGCATGACAGACACATCCATCGGCTGGGCAAGTCCTGTCGCTCCTGCTGACACAAAGTCTACACCCGTCATAGCTTCCTCAAGCTTGGCGCGAACAGAGCCCATTTTGTGAACTTTGAGGCTGTCTAGCAAGAGCATGCGGCAAAAGGTGACCGACGGAGTCCACACCTGCTCATAATATTAGTAAAAACAACAAAATTTAAAGAAAAATAAAAGCATACCTCGTTGACCCATTCGATCATAATGCGCTCATCACAATACGCATTCTTTTGCACAGTAAGCACAACCTCATCTGCTTTATGCAGCGGATGAGCTTGCAGCTCGCAGTGAAAAGGGCCTCCTGTGGCACCAGAGAACACAATAAACGCTGGCAGCTTCTTTCCAGTGGCCGATGCGCACAGAAAAACACTGGCACGAAATGAGTTTTCAGACATTCCTAGATCACAGTTAGAACCAATAGTACATAAGTCTTATATTATAAGACAATAACAAAATGATTACCTTGCACAACATCAACGTCACGTTTCCCACGAAACGTGATAGTTGTTTTAGGATTCATGTCGATATATATGGAGGTTTGATCCATATTGTAGAAGTGATTATACTTCTCAGTTCCTGCGCTAAACATTTCCATCTTATGGCGCATTGCGAGGCCGAACTCGTCAGCAACGACCTCAATAGTAAAATTAGTATTTTAGCAACAAATTAAAAAGAAATAATAATTTTAGCACATACCTGCACTTGCGTCGACCCTTGTGCGTGATACAACGCACGCTCAAGCCATTTCTGCTGCGGAAACGGCGGAGGTACTCAACAGCAGCTTGTTTCGAGCGACCGAGAAGAAAGCGTGGCTCTAAATGTGCGCTCATCATGAGCAGGCACCTCGACGTGACAGCGCGCACCTTGTTCTTGCGTATGTCACGAACCCAGTCCAAAAGCCTAGAAAGCAGCATTTTGTTAGAAAATATAATATATAAAACTCGAATGATCTTACTTTTTTTCTAGTTCTGGAAAAGCAACTTTAGGCCCACGACGCCCTTGAAGAATAGTAGTGCTCCCGGCTGCAGCGGCTTCGATGTCTTGTCTTCTTTTCGTCCATCGATACAGCGTAGAGCGGTGGCACTTATTTTAGGATGCCAAGCTCGTCGAGACACCGCTTTCACAGGCCGCATCCACCGCCTTGAGGCGGTGCGCGTTTGTATGGAGCGCTTCGCGCATCGGCTGTCAAAACTTGAAGTGATTTCCAGCCACTGGTTCGGAGAACTATGTTTGCTGTTTTTACCGATTTTGATTATTTACAATTTCTAAGGATGTAGTTTTTACAGTGGTTGCACGAAATGCATGTAGTCCGGTATTATCACACCAACACTGAGTCGGTAGTAACTGCTCATATTCTAATTCTTGCAGTAGTAGTCTTAACCACATCTCCAGACTTACTCGTTCACTAGCGGCTACTAGCTCTGATTCCGCTGAATTAAGACTAATACAATTTTGCTAAATACTTTTCCAAGTAATTCATGCCCCAGCAGGTTTTATTACATATCTTGTAATTGATTTCCTTTCTTCAGATGCATTCGCGAAGCTCGCGTCTGTGTATAT